GAATTCTCCAACTTCCCCCACCCCACCCCCACCACTAATATTTTAGGTATAAATTTCTGTTTTATTAGAAACTGTTGCTAAAACTGGAATGATCCTTCTTGCTGGGGAAATTACATCCAGAGCTGCCATTGATTACCAGAAAGTAGTTCGTGAAGCCATTAAGCACATTGGATATGATGATTCTTCCAAAGGTATGTTCTAAATATTTAGTTTTCCGTAAACTCATTTTTGCAGACATAGAATCTGATGCTGGCCAGAGAAGCTTCTAGAATGTTGCTAGTAATCCTTAACTGATTGCAGTTTACCATATCCTCTCAGCTTTCTGATCCAGCCTATTCTGTCCTCTAAAAGTGTGACATTTAGTGCAAAAGCAGTATCTTCTACAACTAAAATACAGATTCATATCAATAGAGAGGCCAGACATGATGATATACCTGTAAATTGAACTTCTGGAGGTCAGGCAGGAGTTAGCTGCTTAGTTTGAGGCCAGCCAAGTTAAAAACCTTATTTCAAACCATGTTGGGAAGGGGGGCAATAAGTGAATTGTATGAATATGGTCTCTTAAAATAATGAATCGTAAATCTCTGCATCAATATTTTTTTCTTCACTTAATCCTTAGCCTTTTATTTAACCCCTCCCCCCCCCTCAGGGTTTCTCTGTGTAGCCCTGGCTGTCCTGGAACTCAGAGATGTGTCTACCTCTGCCTTCCACCTTCCAAGTGCTGGGATTAATGGTGTGCATGTGCCACCATCACCCCGCTACCCTTCTTGTAAAAAAGTAGAAGTGTCTCAATTGCTAGCAACACAGCACTACTCTTAACACTAAAAGAAAAAAAATGAGGGTGATTGGAACACCTTGTTGTTTGTAGGGTTTGACTACAAGACTTGTAATGTGTTGGTTGCCTTGGAACAACAGTCACCAGATATTGCCCAAGGTGTTCATCTTGACCGGAATGAGGAAGACATTGGTGCAGGAGACCAGGTATTGTGATAGTTTGTTGGCATCTCTTTTAACAGTAAATCTGAAACTTGGATTGCACTTTCCCATTTCACTTTTCCCATTTCTTAGGGTTTGATGTTCGGGTATGCCACTGATGAAACTGAAGAGTGTATGCCTTTAACCATTGTCTTAGCGCACAAGCTAAATGCCAAACTGGCAGAACTACGCCGCAATGGCACATTGCCTTGGTTACGCCCAGATTCTAAAACTCAAGTAAGTGGTTATTTTAAAGCTACGTTCATCTCAAATTACATTAAAATTCCTAAGTTACTTAATTATACTGACTGGGGAGAGTAATGTCTTTTTGCTATATTTAAACATATCATAGAGAACAACGCTGGTTAGACAAGTGTTCTGGTCTATTTTGCATTCAAGGTGACTGTGCAGTATATGCAAGATCGAGGTGCTGTGCTTCCTATCAGAGTCCATACAATTGTTATATCTGTGCAACATGATGAAGAAGTTTGTCTTGATGAGATGAGGGATGCCCTAAAGGAGAAAGTGATCAAAGCTGTTGTACCTGCAAAATACCTTGACGAGGATACAATTTACCACCTACAGCCAAGTGGCAGATTTGTTATTGGTGGGCCTCAGGTAATGAATGTATGAAATGTTTTGGTTATTGTTGGTTAGTTTTTGGCTGACTCCACCCCCAGGTCACATAACGCACACCCCGGGTCTCGTGTAGCCCAGGCTACCCCCAATTTCACTGTGTGTCTGATGTTAATGTGGCTGTGTGCAGCTAGCCTTCAACACCTTGTCCTGCCTCAGCCTTCCAAGCACTAGGATTGTACATGTGAGCTACTGCTAGCCACATATGTATCTTGAATGGTTCCTAATAGCCTAGTCGAGAACCACTTAGTAAGAAAGATTACATGACTTAAATCCTATAATTTCAGGGTGATGCTGGTTTGACTGGCCGCAAAATCATTGTGGATACTTATGGCGGTTGGGGAGCTCATGGAGGAGGGGCCTTTTCAGGAAAGGATTATACCAAAGTGGACCGCTCAGCTGCTTATGCTGCTCGTTGGGTAGCAAAATCCCTTGTTAAAGGAGGTCTGTGCAGGAGGGTTCTTGTTCAGGTATGTAATGAACAGGGAAATGGGAGAAGGGTATTTAGTAAAATAGTTTATATACTTCCCTATTTTATAACCATATTATATCACTGACTTTTAGGTCTCTTATGCTATTGGAGTGTCTCATCCATTGTCGATCTCCATTTTCCATTATGGCACTTCTCAGAAGAGCGAGAGAGAGCTATTAGAAATTGTAAAGAAGAATTTTGATCTTCGCCCTGGGGTCATTGTCAGGTAAAGACGGTAAAGCCTGTTGCTAGTGAGAAACGGGGAGGGGGTGGGCATACATATAAAACCTGAGGAGATGACGGTGGACTCCTCTTTGAATTCCTAGAACATGCCAGGATGTTCAATTGCCTGGAGAGGACCTAGCTGATAAAGTTAGTAGTGTTCTGTGACTCAGTAACATCCTAAAAAGTTCTCCATCTTCAATTCTGAGCTTTGTGCTTAATCTTAACTAAGGGTGCTACATTAAGAATTAATAAGCTAAGGTGGGATGATCAAAGTTACAAAGAAAATAACCATAGTGGGCAGTGCTTGGACCTTGGTAAGTATTTAACTGGAATTCCTGTGAATGATAAGTTTTCCTATTTGTCAAGCCAGGGCTGGAAAACAAGAACTGTAGTTACTAATAAGGACTGTGCAAGGAGTTTGGACACCAGGGAAGTAACAAACACTTCTGCCCTGAACTTTTTTCCTAGCAAGCCCCAGGGAGAACTGAACTCAATTGCCAGAGCTCTTGAATGAGTCTTGCTGATTGTTTTGCTTTGTTTTAATTTAATGCTACATATTAAGTTATGGACTTGTATATTCCAGGGATCTGGATCTGAAGAAGCCAATTTATCAGAGGACTGCAGCCTATGGCCACTTTGGTAGGGACAGCTTCCCATGGGAAGTGCCCAAAAAGCTTAAATACTGAAAGTGTTAGCCTTTTTTCCCCAGACTTGTTGGCGTAGGCTACAGAGAAGCCTTCAAGTTCTGAGGGAAAGGGCCCTACTTCCTAAAATTTTCTGTCCTCTTTCAGCTCCTGATCAGTTGCAGTCACTCTAATCAATGACATGAATTTTAGCTTTTGTGGGGACTGTAAGTTGGGCTTGCTATTCTGTCCCTAGGTGTTTTGTTCACCATTATAATGGATATAGTGAGCATAGGTGATCCATGTAACTGCCTAGAAACAAACACTGTAGTGGATAATGCTTTGAAATCGAACCTTTGTGCCCTGTCACCTAATCCTCCAAAGTCCTAATTGCAGTTGCTTTCCCACCAGATGCTGAAAATGTCCTTGTAATGTGCACGTAAAGTACTTGTAGTTTGACTATAGACGTTGGCAATGCCATAGCCCTGTCAGCATGAATTTGTAATGTCTTGAGCTCTATTTATTGAATGTGAAGCCCCTTCCCTTATCCTCCCTGTAACTTGGTCATTTCTAATTATGTAGTTCTGTGTCAGGGAGTGTTCCCTATCCAGTCAATCTTGCATGAAACGCAAGTTTCAGTTGGAGCTCTAGCCTGACTTTAAAAAAAGGCAGTTACAATTAAACCATCTCCCTGGTGCTTATGCTATTAATTGCCACCTCTTAAACAGCACCAAATCAAAATCTCTCCACTTTTCAGCTGTCTTTGGAGGACGTACGTAATAAGGTTTTATTTAGTAAACCAATCCTATGCATGGTTTCAGCACTAGCCAAACCTCACCAACTTGTAGTCTAGAAAAACAGGCACTTGGCACCCTGTGATGTCATACAGAGAAGTCACGGGGCAGTACCTGAGGGTCTGTAGGTTGCACACTTTGGTACCAGGTAACTTTTTTTCTTTATAAGAAAGACAGTACTCCACACTGCACAATAGCTCCTCCCAGGGTTTTAACTCTGTTTTATTTTCAAAACCAGGTCCAATGAGCTTTCTGAACAGCTGGTGTGGCTACAGAGAAACCAGCTTCCTTCAGAGAGCAGTGCTTTTGGCGGGGAGGAGGAAAGCCCTTCATACTTGAACATTTTCTAATTGCTTATTTATTGTATTCTGGGGTATGGCGTAAGTACAGAGAAGCCATCACCTCAGATGGCAGCTTTTAAAAGGTTTTTTTTTTTTTTTCTTTTTTTTTTTTTTCTTCCTCAACACCATGATTCCTTTAACATGTTTCCAGCATTCCCAGGTAGGCCAAGGTGTCCTACAGAAAAACCTTGGGTTAGACCTACAGGGGGTCTGGCTGGTGTTAACAGAAGGGAGGGCAGAGCTGGTGCGGCTGGACATGGAGAAAGCTGACTTGGCTGGTGTGGTACAGAGAAGCCAGCTTGTTTACATGCTTATTCCATGACTGCTTGCCCTAAGCAAGAAAGTGCCTTTCAGGATCTATTTTTGGAGGTTTATTACGTATGTCTGGTTCTCAATTCCAACAGTTTAATGAAGATCTAAATAAAATGCTAGGTTCTACCCAAACTGTGTCCATAAGTTGCTTTCTGATTTAAAATCTGTATGCAACTCCTTACTGCATCTGCCACCCATTGCCAAAGGTAAAGTTCTCAACCATGTATATGAGAAATCGTGGCTAAAAGTTTGGAGTGGTAATTTAGGAAACCTAGTTTAATATTTTGCACATACCATGGTGTGTGTGTGGAGATCAGGACAACATGTAGGGGTGCTTTTATTTACATTTGCCATGTGAAATCCTGGGAAGCATCACTTTACATGTTTGCATGCTGTGGAGGTTAAGTGTCCCCCCACCCCCCAAGCAAGTAAAAGATTCTCTTGAGTTTAAGGATAGCAGAACTAGTATGCTCCTGCTATCTTCAGGTGGATGGGGAAGATTCTCAGGAACTTGAAAATACCTATTACCTGGGATTTACAAGTATGGGTTTACCTGAGGGGGGGTAGGGCTTCTGTGGTGACAGGAAGACATTTTAAGACACTTTGCTCTTTCAACGCTAAAAACATTTTAAGAGACTTTAAAGTTTATTAAAATAATTGAACAAATTTCCCAAAAGTACAGCTTTAATTTATGGCAAACAAAACCCACTGTATGGTCTGGTAAAGGTTTAGTGATTTCAAGGAGCCTAGAAACCAAACCCTCTGTGGCTCATACTTGGAATCCCAGCATTCCAGAGACCGCAAACTTGGGTTATTTAGCAATTCTCCATCTCAAGTCTTTAGATGCCATTCCATTGTGAATAACCTTGTTGGCTAAGGACAGGAATGAGATAAATGAAGGTTGCTTAGTAGCAAGAACAGCTATGGAGAATTTTTAAATTGCTCAGTTGGCTGTAGTGGCACATGCCTGTGGTCCCAAATGCTGGGAAACGGAGATAGCCAGATTTTTTTGAGTTTGAAGCTAGCCTCTGGTATACATCGTTCAGGACAGCTAGGGCTACATAATAAGACCTTGTCTCCAAAAGTCCAAACATGGTAATAACTGCAATACCAGCTGATTCAGAGTTCAAGATTATCCTCTGCTACAGAATTTATCTTTGGGGATAGCCTGGTCTAAGTGAGGCCATCTCAGAATTGCTGAACTGCATAGATGTGCTTACAAGATCTCTGGCCCTCAGACTATAACAGTGACTTAGGGCAGAGTATGTCCTAAAAATACTAGGTACATGAACACTAGCTAGACCAGGGAAAACAGAAGAAAAAGTAAAACCTTGGAAGCGGGTTCAGGGCTAAGGACAAGCATAAAGTATACACTAGAGATAGTAACATGGGGTACAAATTCTTAACATTGAAAGGAAATTTGCATTTTTAAATTTTGCTACATGTATAATGGTAGGCCCCTTGGCTTTTAAAAAGACATCAACGATCCATTGCCAGAACAATTGTAGTTGGAGAGCCTAGTTTCTCTGGCAATGCTAATAAACTTCAACCAGATAGTTTCGCCTCTCCCCATGCTGGCTTTGAACTGATCTTCCTGCCTCTATACTGAGGTCACAGATACGTATCATAGAGCTTCACTTACACAGTGCTGAGATCAAACATGCATGGCAAACTAACCCTCTATCAACTGAGCTCCATCTCTAGCCCCAAGCAACTTAAATTATTAGTAATGCCCCCATCTCTACTTAATTCACCCAACATTTTTCTTGGGGAAAAAGGTAGTAAATGAGCACGGAAGCAGCATCTTTCTACAAACTAAGTACTTTGCATGAAACCTGGGTTCATTTCTCAGCACAAGTTTGAAAGACACCCCTCCCGAACAAAAACGCTTTTCTTGCTAGTCAAAGGTGACAGGTTAAGGGAACAAGGAAGTAGCTGAACTTGGAAAGGACATAGTGCCAAGGTGTATTCATGGTGTTACGTAAGAAAAGATCACGAAGAAGAATGCAAACTGGTGGTGGTTTCCTGTTTGAGAAAATGATCAGAGCTCTCTGCATGGCCATCAGTAGCCTATATACAATGTTTTGTATGCATTAAGAGGGACTTTTGGTCTCCATACTTGGGCCCAACCTGTGCAAAAAAAGATGGTGGCCCTGCCTTGGTCTATCCTTAAATAGACTGCAGTATAAAGGGTAAAGGAATAGGCCGATAGTAGAAATAAAAATAGGATGAATAGAAGATGTGATGGGGCTTGACACCAAGGAAAAGGAAAACCTCAAGGCTTATGACTCAGTCATGGCTTAGAGAGCTGCATTCACTAAGCTGATTTATACTAAAGCAAGCCATCTGGCTTCCCTATTTAGTAGTGCTACTCTGATACCACTGCTACTGAAAAACTTGCTATAAAAAGGAATTGAAAATAAAGAATTACTTTGCATTTAGTACCTGACCATCCTAATCAATTAGATTAACACAAGTTTTAAGCTATACTGCTTCAACTTTACTGTCAGTGGTTCTGAAAAGCATTAAAGAGCAGCACATGAGACCTTAAGTCCAACAGATTTCAGTTCAAATTGTCAACCCACTCCTGGATGCCTTTGGGTAAATTTTACTTGCTTTCCTTTCTCCAAAGGTAAAATTTAAGCATTTAAGACCAATGCTTCTTAAAGTACTGAGTATGATAATTCAGGTACACTGCTTCAAACAGTACCAGGCACATAGCAAACACATGGGTTCAGCTATTTTCATTGTGGTACATTCCTTTTCCTAAAGAACCAGCTTAAAAATGACTTTTATAAACCAGGCGGTGGTGGTGCATACCTTAAATCCCAACACTTGGGAGGCAAAGGCAGGTGAATTTCTGAGTTCAAGCTCAGCCTGGTCTACAGACAGTTCCGAGACAGCCAGGGCTACACAGAGAAACCCTGTCTTGAGGGGAAAAAAGGAAAAAACAAACAAAAAAAAACCCCTTTACTGTAAGAGGATAGTTCATATTGCTTCTAAAAAGAGCCTTCAGTTCTTCAAATTCTTCTCTGTTGCCTTGGATTCTATAAGCTATCATCTTAACTTATAAGAGGGGTAATGTAAAAGGAAAAAACTAGGTTTGGTGATGTACATGTAACCACTCAGAGGCTGAAGCAGAGGAACTACCATGAGTTTGAGGCCAGCCTGGGCTGTACTGTAAAAGCCTGTCTCAAAATAGATGATATTTCTCCAGTAAATATCCTTTGCATAGGCAGCAACCTGTACCAGGCTGTCCCCACACCTCCACAGAACATCTGGACTTCCTCACAACTCAGAGTGAACATGCTCAGCATCTGGCTCTGAAGGGTTCGGGTTTGAAGAGTCGGGGTTGGAAGCACTCGACTCATCAACTGGTTCAAACGGTCGCAGGTTTGCGTATGTCACCTCTTGGGCTAGCTGCTCTAGGGAAGGTCGGCCTAAGAGCAGATTTCGGAGTGAAATTCGAGTCATCAGGAAGCTGAAAAAAAGTTAAAACAGTCCAAATTTATGTTTCCACATAACTCCAATAAAGCCCTCAGGAAACACTTGGTCTTAGACCCATTCACCTGGGGACACAGACATCTACTTTATTAACCTTCCTAAATGCAAGGACCCTGCTCCCTCCGAAGCCTGACATATTAGAACAGGAATAACCATGGAAAGGTTACAGATAAAAAGAAGAGGTGGGTGAGGAGGGTAAAGATCCCTAGGAGTCTCTACTGTTACCCTCACTAGGGGAAAGTGACCAACTTGCAAACATCTGACGGCATTGACAAATGCTGTGTGAGTGAACTCACCTGCGTCGGAAGACATACAGCTTTCGCAGCAAGAAGCGCAGGAGTCGCTCATGCAAAGGGCTATTTCGCCGGCGTTCAATTTCTTGGAGTTTCCGCTGTCGTCTTAGAAAGGTCTGGACCAAAGGTGTTGGCTCAGGGCCCCCTTTTACTTCCCCTTCCAAAAGAGGCTGAAGTTCTGGAGGCAGAGGCCCCGTTTCTGTCCAGAAGACAGCAAAAAGGAACCTGAGATGGACCACTCTCTCCCTCAGCCATTTCCCTCAACTAGAGGCTTCAAGCACTCCCTTTACTGGTTAGAACCTAGAGCCCCGACTTCTGAACCAGGCGCTCTCTCCGTCACACCTCCATGCACTCACCACTTCCGTTCTCCACCTTCTCCTTTAATTCTTGCAGATATGCCAGGTCTTGCTCCAGGGCGACCTCTGTAGTGTTGACATAGACGTACATGTAGCAGGAAGGACTGGACGATACAGTATAGACTTTGTGGTACTCTCCAGCAGGCAACTGATGGGGGAACAAGAGATACATTCACCTCGAACCTCCCTAGCTGGCCTATGGCCTCCCTACTCTGACCCTGCCGGCACTCTCTTTTCCTGTGTCTTGGAGTTGAAATAATGGCCTCTAGAATCTGGATAAAGTTGTTCACAGCCTCAGGGCTCCTTTTTTTTCTTCCGGTGTTGTGTTTTGAGTTTTGATCTCACTATGTAGTCCAGGCTGGCCTGGAATTCTCAGTCTTCCTGCCTCAGCCTCCCAAGTCCTGAAGTTGACAGGCAAGTATTTCCGATGAAGCCCTTGCTTTCTGAGCCCCCACTACATTACTGCGCTGATAAGGATTTCTTTGTAACAAATGAACCCTGCTTACCTAAACTTCATACCACTTCTAAAGTTTTTGTTTGGTAGTACTAAGTCCCCAGCTGCTGTCACTGTTAGCCCCAGCAAATACCTGCATTTTGTCTCCCTCCTGAAGAGTCTGGTTTTTCTGTTCTGCTACCAGTTCCACAGTGACCTCTCCCTGCAGGAGCTGGATGCTAGTGTTGCCCAGGTCTTCACTCACAAAATTCTCCAGGTGAAGACCTGCCAGAGGCAAGAGAGTTCACCATCCCACCCCACCCCGCCCCAGCAGAACAGATTTTCACTACCATCACCTCCAGAGTCCCCTCCCTCCCCCACCATATGCAATGTCTCTGGTCAAGGAAGTCAAGGAAAGAGCAGACTCTCCCCTCACTTTCCTCCATACCAGGGAAATCTGCAATGAAGACCACCTCAGTGTGGTTGTCCAGACTGCTCTTAATGTCCTGTAACTTGGTCCTCCAGGGAGACAAGTCCATCAAGAGTGGCTGCACCCAAGGTGTGCGCTGGAAGGGGGACCAGACAGCCTGCACGATGTCCACACGAGGGTCAAAAAGCCTTAAAAAAGGAAACCATGTTCTAAGGAGGCAGTGGCCACCCACCCACCAGACTTCTTCTTTCTGTTCCTTTCTTCACTGGACCCATGGAGAGGGAATAGGAGTTCCCAAAAGGAGCAATGCCTACTGTCAGCATGTTATTGCCAGTCCGTGACAGAGAGATGGGAAAGAATGTGTGTTAGTGGCCACCTGAGGAGAAGGCATTGTGTTAACAGTGTCTGAAAGAACAGTCAGTTCACTTTCTCCTGGATGATGGTGCCCCCTGCTGGACATAACCAGCTATGCCCACAACCAGATCAACCCCGACATGCACTAGACTGAGAGACAGCCTTGTAAAAAGCAAGACAACATGAGGAGACATCAGCTTTTCATCTTGACAAAAAGAGCTGTGCTTCATCTTTCCCTGTCTCTGCTCCCCTTGCCCACCTCTGCTGGAAGCGGTCATTGATGGAGACCCAAATATCAAAGTAGATCTGGGGCTCAGTGACATTGTACTTGGGAAGCAGGAGGCTCAGGCAAGTGGCATATTGCTTCAGCATGTCTGCATGATCCTTCCATCGCCGGCTCTGTGTGAATACCTGCCCCAAACCCCCATATTAGTCCCACTTTGTCACTGTCAACCTCCAAGACATGCACTGCCAATAACACAAAAATCTCTGCCTGCTGCCTAATTTGAGCAGGAGGGCAAAAAAAGGAACTTGTCTTCAGGTGTGAATTTTTCATTACTAGGTATTTACTTACCTTTCCAAAACATAATCTTAATTCAAAACAATGACATCTCTATCCACGTTAAAAAATAAAAAGTCCAGCACTAGACATTATAGCTAAAAAGGGACCAGCCTGGGCTACACAGAAAGACTCTGGCTTAATTAATTAAAAATACGGTCTGGCGAGATGGTTCATCACGTTAAAAACATTTGCCATGAAACCTTGATGACTTAAGTTACCAGAACTCACAGAGCGGTAGAAATAACTGACTCCACAAAGTTGTCTCCACATGCACCTGTCTATCTGTCTCTCATGTGCGTACACACGTACACACGTACACATACACATACACAATACATTTTTTTAAACTACAAAAGATCCAGGGATGAGGCTATAGCTCAATGGTAGAGTATACACTTAACATGTGTCAGGCCCTGGGTCTAGCACCAAAAAAAAAGAAAGGAAGAAAAAAGAAGAAAAGGTTCTGTCTGGTTTTGGAGGAAGTGCAGAGACCCAAATTTGTTTTACTTGATGGTATGTACAGGACCAAATAAAATGTCGAAGCCCAAGGAGCTCCGCAGAAGTGCAGCACCAGATGTCTCACCCCAGGGTTAAGGTAGCCAAGCTCGCCAGTGAGGCCATCACGGTAGGTGATCTTTACATGCTGGTGGGAGCGCGAGTGTACCATCATGTCCCAGGAATAGCCGTACAGCCCATTTGTCCAGTTGTTGTAACCCTGGGAGGGCAGAGCAGAGAGCATCAGCTTAGTGCCTCTCAACCCAACCTCATCCTCCAAAAGGGAAGAGCTGTAAAGCCAAGCCCTTCCTTCCCTAATCCTGCCGCATCCGCCACAGTCCAAGCTCAGCCTCTGTGGCATGTATTAAGGAACAAACCTGGGTGAGGAAATGGGAATATGGCAGGAAGAGCTGCTCCAGAAGGTAGAGCAGGGTGAAGACAGCTCCCAGCTGGTGGCGCAGCCCCACCTTTGGACCAGCTCTGGCACGGGCTCTCTTATACACACAGGAAGCACTAGGCCGAGGAGCATCTTTGGTGGGCAGCAGCTTTTGCAGCCTTTTGGGGCATCGAGCTACCAGCTTCCGAGGCCATTCGGTTGAGCAGAAGAGGGGGCTGCTGGCCAGCATGACATAGGGAAACATACCTAGGAAAGCAGAGACATGTCAACATGGTCAGGCTCCCCCTACCAGCTTCCCTTATGAAGTACCTCTAACATATTTTACTTTAATGAGCTCCGTCTTCGTTTTCTTGAGACAGAGTCTCATGTAGCCTATGCTGGCCTAGAACTCATTATGTGGCTAAGGATTACCTTGACCTAATCTTTCTTACTCTATTTCCCGAGTGCTGGAACAAGAGGTGAATGCCATCACACCTGGTTGTGTGTGGTGCTGGGGATGGACCCCAGGACTCTGTGCACACTAGGGAAGCACTGGAGCAGCTGAGCCTCGTGCCTGGCCCTGAAGGAAGTGCTTAACTTGTTCTCCCTGCAGACCCTCACTGTGCAACATGTTGTCCCTGAGGTCCCAATCCTCTCACCCTTACTTGTTCCTACTTCACAGTGACTACACTGGGTTCAGCTTAGCTCCTGACCCACCACCACCTCCACCCACAGACAATGCCTCTCTCCAGGTGTTCCACACAGCTCTGCAGTCACTGCTTCCTACCAAGCGGCAGGTACTGACCTATGCTGAAGAGCTGAGAATTCATGCAGTGGAAGTAGGACACGAAGAAGAGGCCAATGGATCTCGAGGCATCAAAAAAGAGCAGGAAGCCAGCTGAGAGGTCAAGGAGAAGGCCGCACCAGTGCACCACCAGCAGGCTTGTTAGCTCCTCGGACAACACCAGCCTGCAGACACAGGGACAAAAGTCCAGGCCCAGCCAGCTGGGTCACCCAGCAATCACAGCACAACTGAAGTACTAGTTGCCTTAGCAACTTGTCCCTGATGAAGGATCTGCCCACCAGTGGGGTACAACAGCTAAGCCCCAAATGCACCCATAAAAATGTTCTACATTGGAGCTTACTAACCCCTTGACATTTTCAGTAGTCCTTTTTTTAAATATCCCCTGTGTGATGAGTAAAGCCCAATCTTCTAGGATAAAATTTGATGGAAAAGTATACTGCAGGGAGCCAGTTCCTCATGGAAGTCATAAATGAGAAGCATTGAAAGGTGAGTGCTGGGCATGAATGGGCTGGCCCTGAAGGCCCAAAGAGGCAAGATCTGCATGACACAGGACAACAACAGGATATCCAAGAGGAGTCCCAGTGAGAGCCCAGTATCTATGGTGTAGCATAAACCAGACGCCTCAAACTAGACCAGTGACTCATTGCAATGAACACTCACAAGTAATGATAGATGACCAAAGGGCATAGTGTGTGACTCACTGTGTCCCGCTACAGCGTCCACAATGATTTTTCTTTTCTTTCTTTTCCTCTTTTCTTTTAAATTTTATTTTGTCTTATCCTGGGAGGGAGGTTGCAAGGGTAGAGGGTGGATGGGAAGGGACAGGGAGATGAGTGGGATCAAGATGCATGATGGGAAATCCACAAAGAATCAATAAAAAAAAAAGTTAAATTGGGAGGGAAAAAAAAGGTGAGTGCCAGGGCTGGTCCCCAGAACTTCATAAAACTGGATGTGCACACCTGTAATCCTAACCCTTGGGAGGCAGAAGCAGGAAGATCAGGAAGTTCAAGTTCATCCTCAGGGAGCTGGAGGCCAGCCCGGGATATCTTTTCTCAAAAGACAAAGAACAAACTTGTTTTAAAACGCTGACTGCTTTGGGCTGGTGAGATGGTTCAGTGGACAAAGGTGTTTGCTACTAAGCCTGGAGTCAGGAGGGAAGGAAAACTCACAGATGGAGCTGTTTTAGAGTTGGTAACAACTGCTCTGCCATGCAGGAGAAGCACTGTCTGTCTCTACTAAACTGTCTGAGGAGCTCCTACAGAAGACTGTGGTTACACCGCCTTTAATCCCAGCACTCGGGAGGCAGAGGAGCTCTGATCTCAAGGCCAGCCTGGTCTACATAGTAAGGTCCAGACCAGCCAGGCAGGCCTACACAGTGAGACCCCGTTTCCAAAAGATTAAAAAAATAAAACACAATAAAGAGTGGGTTCAGGGCCAGGATGCTTGCCTTACGTGTATGAGACCCCAAGTTCAATCCCCAGTACTGTCAAAATGTAATAAAAATTTCAAAAAATGGGGGTTGACAAGGCAAGGACACAAGCAACTCCCACTGCCACCCAAGGTAACTGCTGGGTCCTGGCTCATTGACAAGTGTGCTGCCTAGTTCACTGTCACATCGCACAGGCTGGAGTCATCTGGGAGGAGGAGACCTAACTGAGGGACTAGAGGAAAGTCTTTCAGGACATTTTCTTGATTGATTGATGTGGGAGGACCCAGTCAACTATGGACAGTGGCACCTCTGAGCAGGTGGTCCTGGTATAAGAAAGCAAGCTGACAGGCCTGGAGAAATGAGTGAACAGTTAATACTGGCTGCTCTTCTAGAGGACCCAGGCTTGAGTCCCAGCACCCACATGGTGGCTCAAATCTGTAACTCCAGTCCTGGAGGATCTGATGCCCTCTTCTAGATTCCATCAACACCAGGCACCCATGTGTTACACTTACAGGCAAAACAGACACATAAACAAAATTTTTCTTTCAAAAGAGGAAAACTGAGTAAGCCATGAGAAACAAGCCAGTATGCAGCACTCCTCAACAGTCTCTGCTTCTGCTCCAGCCTCCAGGTTCCTGCTCTGCTAAGTTCCTGCCTTGGCTTCCCTCGGTGACAGCTGAGGATTAGGATGGACTAAATGTGGGAGGCAAATAAACTCTTTCTCCCCAAGTTGTTTTTGGTCATGGTCTTATCACAGCAACCGAAAGCAAAGTGGGACACTACGTCTCCCAATTCTGATCCTTTCTCTTTTTGACCATCTATAGCAGAGTCTCCCAGAGGCAGCTGGGCCCCATCTCTGACTATCATTGACTCTGCATTTGGCTGAATAGGGAGACAAAGCAAATGTCAGACATGTGTTACACAGACCCGACAGATGAATCACCCACTCAGTACACGGAACCCAAAAAGGCCCCTACCTTGACTCTACTCACTTGAAGGGACTAAAGAGCCAATGCCGGGACAAGTGTTCCATGGAGTAGCCCTCAACCCAGTCTGCATCCAGCTTTTTCACACCCGCAATGAAATACACAATGAAGATCTGTAAACATAACACGCAGCATGAATGTTTAAGCAAACAAAGAATCCCTGGTTTTTTCCAGAAAGCTCTGCGGTTAAGGACTTGCTGCTCTTGCAGAGGATCTGGGCTTGGTTCCCAGTACAACCACCTCTAACTCCAGTTCTAGGGCATCTTCTTCTGGTCTCTGTAAGCACTGCATGCACATGGTACACACAGACAAGCAGGCACACATGCATACAAAAATAAAAATAAATGTAACTTTAAAAAAAAATTTAAAGAATAAAAATTCTCATCTCAGCCAGTACCCAAGAAAGAACATACCCATTCCTCTAACCTTTCGTCTCACAGTCATTCATCCAACAAGCTCTTTAAAAAAAAAATCTACCTATGCCAGGCACATTAGGCACAAAGGAAAAAGTAATAAAAGCACAGAAGTGATTATCTCATGAGGAGTCTAACCCAATAGACAAGGTACTATTCATTCCACGATGGGATGAGAACTCAGGGACTGGGGAACTGGAAAAAATGGAGGGCCCATCTAGCTTTCTAGCAAAAGGAACAAAGAAACATCCAGTGCCGACAGGATGGCTTAGTGGGTAGAAGTGCTTGTGGTACAGGGCTGACAACCTGAGTTCAATTACCAATGTGAAAAAGATGCAGGGGGCGCATCTGTAATCACTGCTCCAAGGATGGGAGACAGAGACAGGAGAACCATCTAGAAGCTTTTGGGTCAGCTAGCCTGGAGTATTGCAGCAAGGGAAAAACATCAAGAGACATCCTCCCTCAACACAGTAGAAGGAGGGACCCAACTCCCCAAAGTTATCCTCTGATTTCCACATGTATGCTGCAGTACATGCACACACACAATAAATTAATAATTTTCTTTTGAGTTCAGGTCTCACTGTATAGTCCTGGCTGTCCTGGAACTCAGTATGTAGACCAGGATGGCCTTAAACTCACAGAGATCCCCTGCCTCTGCCTCCTGAGGGCTAGGATTAAAAGTATGTACAACCAGCCGGGCGGTGGTGGCTCACGCCTTTAATCCCAGCACTCGGGAGGCAGAGGCAGGCGGATCTCTGTAAGTTCGAGGCCAGCCTGGGCTACCAAGTGAGTTCCAGGAAAGGTGCAAAGCTACACAGAGAAACCCTGTCTCGAAAAACCAAAAAAAAAAAAAAAAAAAAAAAAGTGTGTACAACCAAGCCCGGCTATATAAATAAATATTTTTTAAAAACAAGAAAGAATCTGAGGAGGCAGAGGAAAGGGCCTCTGACCACTGCTGACTATTAACAGCTCACAAGGAGCCCCTTCCCCACCTTGGCTGGGAGGTACACAGTGGGTAGAGCATTCTCCACAAATGAATGCGGGTCCACGTTTGAATCCCCAGAACTCATGTAAAGTAAGGCATAGTACTGTGCCTCTGTATTTGCGGCATCCTACAGTAAGATGGGAGATGGACACAGGGGAATCCCTAGAAGCTCATGGGCCAGCCAGCTAGGTAGCATCGAACAACAAGGAAATAGAGACTGGGCTTGATCCAGGTGGAAGGTGTACACACACACACACACACACACACACACACGCACAGACACACAGACACACAGACACACACGCACAAGATTCCATACCTGGCCTCTTAGGACCGTGTAGTTCCAAAGGGGAACGTGGGCATTTTTCTTTTGGGCATTCAGCAGGCCATCCACAGACCTATAGGAAGGAGGTGAAAACATCAAGGAAGGCTTCTTAGTCCAGCTACATTCCCACCCTCCAATCAGGCCAGATGTATCTACCTCAGAAATAGCTCTCAAACTGGGCAATGGTGGTGCACGTCTTTAATCTGAGCACTTGGGAGGCAGAGGCAGGAGGAACTCTGAGTTTGAGGACAGCCTAGTCTACAGAGCTGGTCCCCAGGATAGCCAGGGCTACACAAAGGAATTCTGTCTCAAAAAACAAAAAAGAAAGAAAGAGACAGTGAGGGAGGAAGGGAGGGAAGAAGGAAGGAGGGAAGGAAACAAGGAGGGAAGGAAGGAAGGGAGGAAGGAAGGGAGGGAGGGAGGGAGGGAGGGAGGAAGGAAGGGAGGGAGGGAGGGAGGGAGGGAGGGAGGAAGGAAGGAAGGAAGGAAGGAAGGAAGGAAGGAAGGAAGGAAGGAAGGAGAGCAAGCTCTCATGCCCTCCCTGATTCTCTGGGCTATTCTGAGGATCTCATGAAACACATGAGTAAATCCTTCTGGGACATGATGTTGAAAAGAGGGGGTCTCATATCACAGACTGGCCTCAAACTCACTAGGTAACTGAAACTGGCCTTGAACTCCTAATCTTCCTGCCTTCACTTCCCAAGTGCTAGAATTACAGGAGTGTACCACCATGCTAGGCAATATGAGTACACTGTAATGGTAATTACTATTAAGATCATAAGAGAATACTATCATAGATGTTCTGTAGCTTATAAAGTAATATCCCAATAAACCCTTTAGAAGCTGAAAATAGCCTTAATTTGAAAATGTATTTGATATACATAACCTACTAGATATCACATGCACGGCCTATATGCTGTGTTAAATGTGCTCAGAACACTGACAACAGCCTGCAGTTGGGCAAGGTCATCCAGGACAAATATTTAATAATTAAAGCATTGGCTATTTGGTTGAACACTGTGCCAACTAAGTGAGAGACAACGGATATGCTCTCACTACCACATCGAAAGACACTAAAGTTGAACCCTAAGTTAGACACTGTCTACAGTAAATCATAAGAATAAAAACTTGCTGGGCATGGTGGCGCACACCTTTAATCCCAGCACTTGGGAGGCAGAGGCAGATGGATCTCTGTCAGTTTGAGGCCAGCCTGGTCTAGAGTGAGTTCCAGAATGGCGAGGGCTGCTACACAGAGAAACCCTGTCTTCAAACAAACAAACAAACAAACAAACAAGAACTTCAGTGTAGCAGGTATAGTGGCGCATGCCTACAATAGTGGCGAATGCCTACAATTCCAGCACTTGGAGGCAGAGGCAGGAGAACTGCTCAAGTCTGGAGCCAGTACGATCTACATACAACGACAGTTTGACTCAAACCCACACATACACAGTGGTTCCTATTAGCTCAAGACTGGAGCCAGAACAATCTACATACAATGATAGCCTGACTCAAACCCAACCACACACAGTGGTTTCTATTAGCTCACTCTTCAGTTTGTCCTAAAGAGTCACATCAGGTTCAAAGCTATAATAGAAAGGACAAGGAGAAACAAATCTGAGGGAGTGCTTGAGAAATCTAAAGGGGTGGGCTGGAGAAACGGCTCAGGTCAACAACTACAGTTCACTCCTGGAGCCCACAAAAACCTGACCTCTATACATACACCACAGCATGTACACCCTTGTTCTCCTGCATCCTGTGTTTCCATGTACTATGGAGCATGATAATAATAAATACAATTAAAAAATAAAAATAGACTGGGCATGGTGCACACACTTTTAGTCCTAGCACTCAGGAGGCAGAGGCCAGCAGATCCTCATGAGTTCAAGGCCAGCTTGGTTTACATAGCAAGTTCTAGAACGACATAGTGAAACTTTGTCACACACACAAAAAAAGAATAAAGTAAATAAATAAATAATAAAATCACAAAATGGGGGACTGGAAAGATGGTTAAGAGCACTGGCTGCTCTCCTAGAGGACCTGGGTTCAACTCCCAGCACCCATGTGGCAGCTCACAACCGTCTGTAACTCCAATTTCAGGAAATCCAGTGCCATGTTCTGACCTCCATGGGCATAGGAACACACATAGTACACATACATACATGTAGGATAAATATATACACACATGAAATAAAATTAAAACACAGATACAGAGGTGCATAAACACATGCACACACAGAAATACACACTGCAATATCTTTTATTTTGTTATGGTGTTTTGAGACAAGGTCTTACTTTGTAGCCCAGGCTAGCCTAGAAGTCACCACGTAGCCCAAGCTATAATCTTCAAGCCTCTACCTCTTCAATGCCGGGAATAAAGGTGTGCACCATCACATTCAGCTATACAGTATATAATCTTGGGGGGCGGGGGGGGCTGGGAAAGTAGTCCAGAGACTGAGCACTTACTTAGCATGTACAAGGCCCTGAGTTTGACTCCACTTCCATAGGGGTAAAAAAGGAAAAATAAGTTCAAAATACTCCCCAGCAAAATAATGCAGAGCATAAATGAACATTTATAAAATGATACCAGGATCCAGTGCTGGAAGATACTGATTTTAAATCTTATCCTGAGAGAGAACTGAAAAAGCTAGAACATTCACACCAGACTTATTCTGAGGCAGAAATGAAACAGGTTTTGAAGAAGTGAGGGAGAACGTGGCTTACACTGTGGTTGGAAGACCTAGACCGGCAGTCAAGGACAACGAAGCCCATCTGTTTCCTCCCTGCTGTGTAAACTTAGCACGGTCTTCATTTTCCCAAGATTTACTTCTTCATCTACAAAACTAGTCCAACTCCAGGAACCTCGTATTTGTTTTAAGACAAGGTCTCACTATCTATCTATCTATCTATCTATCCCAAGCTGGCCTCTAATTGAAAGCAATCCTCTTGCTTTGGCATCCCAAAGTGCTGGGCATGAACAACCAAACCCGACTTTTCATAGGGTTAATGAGGAAAAAATATTTAAATATGCCTGCCACATACAAAGCCCTGAGTATGTGATAGGTGTTCTTTTTTCAAAATGTCTAAAAATCATAAAAATGGAACTTGGAAGTGGGAGATATCTGTCAAAATGACCTCTTAATTCTCTATGATCAAAGCAAGACATCGTGAATGGGTTTCAAGTTTGACAAAGATGGGGGCCAGGGCCTGGTGGGAGTGGACATGCTCAGCATGCGGGAGGCCGGGGCCAATCCGCAGCCCATGTGTGCACACACAAAGTTTTATGGGAAAGAACTATACACTCGTGCATCAGTGGTGAGCCATCTCCATCTAGCTCACTGAGCTTCCACAGCTACCTCTCACTAACAGGAAAAATCTCCTCGAGGTCTCCTGCCCCACCACCCTGGCTCGAAGGCTCTCCCCCACCTCCCCTGATAGATGGTCACCTAGGCCAGAGACGGAGTGGGTTACTTTGTCCTAGGACAGCACTGCTGGGCAACCCTGGCGGCCCTCTCCTCTTGGTATCTGCTATCATTTCCACCTCACAGCAACGTCTACGTTTGGCTATCACTCTGCCTCTCTGGGCTGGCTCACACACAGAAAGTAAAGTCTGCAGCCCTGGAGTATCTGAAAACAGCTATATCTGGCTTTAGTCTTCTCTTCTTCTAAGAGGGATACAGGAGTGGATATATCAAGGTACCTGGAGAGATAGGGAAAAAGTGAAGGAGTGGGGTGGAGCCATTTTCCTAGGTCACTCCAATCACCCCATTTGCTGGTCCTTCCCCTCCCCAAATCCATCCAAGCCAGGCAAGCAATAGAACCAAGCAAATAAGGGCCCTCACCATCGAGCCTACCTCAGCTGGATCCCCAGAACCCACACGGAAGGGGAGAACAGGCTCTCCCGAATCCATGCAAGTCAGAGTGTGATCGCAGACCACACTTTGCAAAACTTGGTTAAAAATGTGTCTGTGAGCCGGCACGGTGGCTCACACTTGTAATTCCAGCCCTCAGGCTAGGACAGGAGACCAGAAGTTCAAGGCCAGCCTAGACTACATAGTGCGTTCCAGACCAGCCTGACATACAGCAATACAAATCCCACCTCAAATCCCCGCTCCCAAAAGATCAAAACACCAATAAAAGTTGTGCCTATTGGACAATTTCTAGGACTTCACTGCCCACCCCCTCCAGTAAGCATCCTTATCCCTATTATTTCCCGAGGCACATACCAGTAGTGGTTTGCATCCATGAATGTCAACTGAAAGGCCAACAGACCATACAGATAGGAGTGGTTGTTCCACGACGTCTTGTCCAAGAGAAACACGTACCAGTACGGGAGCAGGAATAACACACAGCTTAGCCGGTAGCACAGGCCCAGCAACATGCCCAGAGCCCCTGGGGGTTTGTGAGGAGAGGATTCAAGGTCAAAGTATCACCACAGGCCCCGATTCCCTGGGACTGAAATTAAGAAAAGTCAGCAGGCATTTTATAATCAAGCAGAGAACGAAATGAAAGAAGGGTAATGGGGTCATGACGGCTCACATGACACAGATGAGCGGCATGAAGCTGAACCACAGCAGAAGTGATACAGACATCCGTGGCTCACCAGCCTGCTTCTGGTGAGTTTCCGACAGGCCAGTCAACTCTCCCTGGTTCAGACCCCCAGCACCCAGTTCCCCTCACCCAGAAACATGATGGTGTAGACAAGATACATCCAGTCAAGTGGCAGCGGGCGCAAGGCATCCAGCAAGGGGAAGCGGCACACATCCAGCCCATCCAAGTACTTTCGGTCCAAGGAGCTAAGGCCTCGTTCCTGGGGAATGTCCAGTAGCATCAAGAACGCTATAAAGCAAGTGGGGGAAGACAACTGTTAGGCATCCACTAACAAGGCAAGACACAGCTCTTAGCATGCCCAGCCCCACACTTGAAGTTTAACACCAGCCTGAGCTACACAGTGAGTTCAACTGCAGGCTGAGGTAAAGAGAAAAACCCTGTCTCAAAAAACCAAAATAGCAGTCACTACTATTAGTACTGAGCCTGCTCTGTGCTAGGAATCATGCCACTTGTGTGGTCTGAGAAATCCTAAGGCTCTGTGAGCGGATTCCCACCTGCAACAACCGTGCTCACACTTGGTGCAGGGGTAGAGAGGTTGGAGAGATGGCCCAACTGAGCAGTCACAAGGACTAGAGTTCAGATCCCGGCATTCACATAACAAGCTGGGAATTCTACGCACATCTGTAATTCCAGCTGTGAAAGAGGTGGAAACAGGAGGCTTGCTGGCTTTACCAGCTTCTAGCCTGTTGAGAAACTGCAAGCCCCAGGGGCTCAGGGAGAGATTCTGCCTCAAAGGAATGAGTGAGTGCAGTGTGACAGAGACCATTTTCTAGCCTCTGTGCTCATGCACAGGAACTCTCCCCTGTGCACACATGTGGGAGTGTGTGTGTGTGCATACATACACTCACACAGTAACAAATCTTAAAAAAAAAAAAAACCTTCACAAGCCAGTGTTCCTAGAACACACCTTTAATCCCAGCACTGGGGAGGCAGAGGCAAGCAGATCTCTGTGAGTTCTATGCCAGCCTGACCTACATAGAGAGTTGTAGGCCATCCAGGACAGTGAGATCCTGTCTCAGTAAAACAAACAATAAATAAGACAAACAATAGCAAAATGTTACAGGGTTGAAGATAGGATTAAATAAGAGCTATGTACAAACCGCTATAGAAACTGTTAGGGTTCAATTATTACATCTATAAAGATAGTCTACTGAGTCATAAAAAGTGTTCCAGAGGGACTTTAACACTTTTTTCTTTCTTTTCTTTTTCTTTTTTTTTTTTTTTTTTGCCTTCTGACATACCCGGGAAAGCAGTGGTATTTGATCAACACACTAAGATAAATAAGGACACTCTGATCTGGAAGCCGGTTTAGGTTCAGGGAAGGTTTCTCAATCCCAGAAGCAGTTGCATTAGCCAGTCTGGTTAATTATCTGTAGGGCATTTACTTGCTCATGACAAGATATCTAGTGCATCCTGGTACCAGCACAGATGCCAGCAACCACCTATTCCTCTTCTCCAAACGTTCTGACAATTAAAAATGTCTTCAGGGAGCAAAATGGCCTGCAGCTGGAAACTACTGGACTTAAGGGAGTAATATCTTGGCACATCTGTAACTCTGTCAGCTGTTATGGTTATTTCTCTGAAGGACTTATCATAGCTCCTAAGCAGCTTCCTAACAGGAACAAAATGGGTCCCTTGTCAGGTGTGCTGGTGTTTGTAATCCTAGCACTCAAGAAGAAAGAAGAGCACTCAAGAGGCCAGGCAAGCCTGGTCTATGGAGTAAGACCATTTCAAACACCACAGAGAGCTGGGGGGACCACTCAGTCAGTAAAAACAAAAGTGCTTCCTGCAAGTAAGATTGCCTGAGTTCAGATCCCTAGTGCTCATGTAAAAAGCCCAGCCCAGTAGCTAGCGATCTCAGTGCTGTGGAGGCAGGGGGACAGGATGACTGAGCCCTGGGATTTGCTGGCCAGCCAGTCTAACTCAATGGGTGAGCCCCAGGCTCAGGAGAGACCCTGTCTCAAAAACTACGGTGGAGAAATGATTAAGGAAAACACCTGACATTGACCTCTGGCCTACACGTGCGCGCGCGCGCGCGCGCGCGCGCGCACACACACACACACACACACACACACACACACACACACACACACACCTGGCGTGCCTATGCTTGAACCCGTTCCTCTAATCTATGTATCCTATATAGCCTCAATCAAAGCATTTCTGAACACTAAACCCTAATGAGAGGTGACGAGGCCAGGTATGATTCTAAACTTCCAAGGAATTCTTCCACTATTCCAATACCTTCAGCGCTAAGGAAAAGAGAGTATCTAAGAAGTAACCAAGAAACAGGTGACTGGGTTGAAGAGAACGGCTCAGCAGTCAGGAACACGCACTGATCTTCCAAAGGACCAGAGTCCAGTTCCCAGCACCCATATCAGTCAGCTTACAACTGCCTTTCAATCCAGTTCCAGGGAATCCAACACCCTCTTCTGACTTCTACAAGCAAGAACAGACCTGGCATACATGCACACAGAAACTGTCCTGATTAAACTTGTCCATTTCAAACAATCTAGAGGAACCTCAACTGAGAAAATGCCTCGATCAGATTGGCCCGTGAGCATTGATGTGGGAGGGCACTGCCTACTGTGTGGGCAGGTGATCACTGGCGGTGTAAGAAAGCAGGCTGAGGAGTCCATGAGGAGCAAGTCAACAGCAACGTTCTTCCATGGTCCCTTCTTCCGTTCTGCCCTCCAGACTCCTGCCCTGACAACCCTTTATGATGAACTACACCTGTAGGCTGAAATAAACCCTTTCTTTTCCATGTTGCTTTTTGTCATGGTGTTTTATCACAGTAATAGAAAGCAAATTAACACACACACACACAAACAAAATAATAACAAATCTTAAAAAGAAATAGGATGTCATTTTCCCAACCACAACCAAAATATATCCCCATCTAGAAAATGAACTTACCAAAGAGAAAACGAAAGACAGCCAGGTTTGCGGGGTCCGTTGGTCGGTTAAGCAGGGTCACGACACTCTGCCAGCTAGATAAATCTGTCCATTCAAACCCCAAAAGTTTCTCCATGCGGCTGCCCTGGCTGAGCCCTGATGTCCGCGAAGACTTGTTTTTATGTACTTTATCTACAACCAAGAAGTGGGGAAAATGTGTGCATAGGAAAACCGAAGTCCCCAAAGCCTAGGGTCTCTACCCACTGGGTTCTCCCATTGATCGGACTACTGAACGCTTCTGGGTTGCAGGCCCTCCTCCAGGATCCTCCTACGGTCTCACAAGACTGCCATCTCTCTCAATATGCCCCTTTCCAAGACACCGTCCCTCTCGCCAACCCTTGGCCTACCTGAGGCGGTAGCGGCCCGTGCAGAGCCACGGTGCAAAGCCATGACTGCTGGGACAGACGAGCCTGTGCAGCTGGGTCCCAGCGAGTGGAGTCCCAAGACTTCTCTGTCTTAGGCTCCGCCTCCTCGACACGTCAACACACGCGCGGCAGGCCGGAAAGCGCCCGCACTGTCGTAAAGGCCGGAGCACCAGGGGCGTGGGCGGGGCTAGGTGTGTGGGCGGGGCTAGGGGCGGGGTGGGGCGGAGAGATCCTGAGCACAGGGCTGAGCCCAGAGAGCTTGCCGAGCAGGGGGATGGGGAGAGGGCAAGGGGTTTGGGGGGATGGGCAGCGCAGGGGCAAAGGGGCATGCATAAATCTAACCTTGGCATTGTGAGGGAGGAGTGACCGTTCCCAGAACAAGTATCTCTATGCTAGCTACCCATCACACACCTGAGCTTCAACCCCTGACACCTCTGTTTGGTTGTTTTGAGGCAGCGTCTCTCTTTCTAGCTCTGGCCGTCCTGGAGCTCGCTTGTGTAGACCAGGTTAGCCTAAAACTTACAGAGATCCATCTGCCCCTGCCTCCGGAGTGCTAGGACTAAAGGCATTCACCCCCATACCCAATTTACCTCCTTTTGAGACAGAACTAGGCTGGAACTCGCGGTGATACTCCTGCCTCTGTTTCCCAAATGTTTGGATTGCAAGACTAAGACATACTTTACTAACCTCCTTATGTCCTTCCCGAGTCCATCAGGTGTCTCTGGGTTTGAGTGTCCCTAAAGTGCTTCCTGGCATTAAAATAAAGTAAATCGAGTGGGCTAAAGGGCAGACTTTCCCACACACTGGAGAGTTAAGGATGCACTTGGAAGAACTGCCTCTATTTAAGGCTAGTGTGCCAACCTTTCTGTACCTAAAAGAACCCCTAGGTTTGAAAGCAGCAGGAAGGTGAAACAAAGGAGAGATGCAGAGCAAGCGCTGTGAGTCCAGCCATCAGTCAGAGGGTCCGGAATACAGTTGTAACATTCAATTCCCTGCTGGAGGTGGCCCACAGAATAAGGAAAAGCACCCAGAACAGGATGCTTCACCAACATTTTGGTCTCAGGACACTTTTACACCTTTGGAAACAGAGGAAACTAGTTTTCTGTGTTTATTTTTGTTTTGTTTCGAGATAGGGTCTCATGTAGCCCAGGCTGGCTCAAACACTGTAGGTGAGGGTTACCATGAACTATCAATTCTGTTGCTTCTACCTCCTGAGTCCTGGTATTACAGACATGTGCTGTGAGTTCTGGCTTTTTTTTTTTTTTTTTTTGAAGTGTGTGTATGTGTGTGTAATGCTGGGACTCAAACCCAAATCCTAGAGTACACTAGGCAAGCACTGTATGTCTGAGCTACAATCCCAGCTTTGAAGATTTTTTTTTTTTTTTTTTTTGGTTTTTCGAGACAGGGTTTCTCTGTGTAGCTTTGCGCCTTTCCTGGAACTCACTTGGTAGCCCAGGCTGGCCTCGAACTCACAGAGATCCGCCTGGCTCTGCCTCCCGAGTGCTGGGATTAAAGGCGTGCGCCACCACCGCCCGGCTTGAAGATGTTTTTAAAGATCTCTTTTTATTAATGTGTGTATTTGTGTATCTATATGCCTTGTGTGTGCAGGTGCCCACAAAGGCCAGAAGAGAGTGTCAGATAACCTATAGCTGGAGTTACAATGGGTTATGAGCCCCAGAATGTGGTGCTAGGAATAGACCTGTGTCTTCTGCAGAGTAGCAACTGAGTGTCTTTCCAGATCCTATTTTGAAGAGCTTTACATTGAGAAGATTTTTAAATGAGTATCTAGGTGTGGAGAGATGGCAGCAGTTCAGAGCGTGTTTAGTCTTGCTCTTGTAGAGAGGACTCTCTTTAACTCCAGTTCCTGGGGGATTCCAGGCCTCTGGCCTCTGAGGGCACCTGCAATCATGTGCACATTCCCTCACACAGACCTACACACGTAACTAAAAATAATAAAAATAAATTTCAAAAAATATACATCAATGCTAAACGTGGTGGTGCAAGCCAACACTCAGAAGGTGGAGCCAGGAGTATTGGGAGTTCAAGGTTGTCCTCAGGTATATAGTAAGTTCCAGACCAACCTATATAAAAAGAGAAAACAAAACAAGCAAACAAAAAAAAAAACCCAAAATTATATAACATACACATATATACATGTCTGTTGACTTATTCAAACACAATTAAAGAATTATTACATGTTTAGGTAAATTACATCTGTAACATAATAGGTCACTGGTCTAGCATGTGTGAGGCCTTGTGTTTGATCCAGCAAGTACTACAATCTTTTGTGGAAAATAAGTATATTTCAGACCCAACCATAAGGCCTTTGTAGTGGTGTAAAAGAAGATGGCCCCCAAAGAGAGTGGCACTAATGGGAGATGTGTCCTTGTTGGAGGAAGTGTGTCACTGTGGGGATGGGCTTTGAGGTCTCCTATGCTCAAGCTACACCCAATGAGACAGACCACTTCCTGTTGCCTGCAATCCAAGATGTAGGACACTTAGCTACCTCTTCAGCACCACATCTGCCTGCACACCACCGTGTCCCATCATGATGATAATGGACTGAACCTCTGACCTGTAATTGAGCCACCACAATTAAATGTTGTCCTTTATAAGAGTTGCCATGGTCATGGTGTCTCTTCACAGCAACAGAAACCCTGACTAAGACAGAAGTTGGTACCAGGGACTACGATACTGCTGTGAAAGGCCTGACCATGCTTTTGTTTGGAGGAATTTGGACTTTGGTACTTTGGGTTAGGAAAGCAGTGGAATGCTTTAAGCATTGCTTAATGAGCCATACTACTAGGGGCGTGGAAAACAGTGGTGATAAGAGTGATTTGAGCTGGTCAATGGTGGCACACATTAAAGAATTCCAGAGGCAGGTGGATCTCTGTGAGTTCAAGGCCAGCCTGGTCTCCAAAGGAAGTTCCAGGACAGGCTCCAAAGCTACACAGAGAAACCCTGTCTCAAACAAAACAAAACAAAAGTGATTTGAACTCTGTGTGTGTAGTGGGGAGCAGGTTAAAGAGGTTTCAGAGAAGAATTTTAGTATGTTGCCTAGAGATTGCTCTTGTGATATTTTGGTGAAGAATGTGGCTGCTTTTTGTCCTTGTCCAAAAGGTTTGTCTGAGGTGTTGCCTGTGAGTCAAGATATAAGGACTCTCATCTCCTGCTCTAGTATCATGTCTGCCTGAATGCTACCTTGCTTCTTGCCATGACAATAATGGACTAAACCTCTAAAAATACAAGCCACCCCAATTAAATGTTTCCCTTTTTAAGAGTTGCTGTGGTCGTGGTGTCTCTTCACAGCAATAGAAACCCTAACTAAGACAGTCCTCAAGAGACAGGCCTCCTCAGAACCAAACACTTGGTGGCAGACCTGGTGTGAAAATGAAGACAATCCTTCCTCAGTGCTCAGAGAAGGGATTGGAGAGATGGCTCAGTAATTAAAAGCACTGGCTTCTCTTCCAGAGGACCTGGGTTTGATTCTCAGCACCCATATGGATGCTCACAACCATCTGTAACTACAATTCAAAGGGATCCGATGTCCTGGCCTGTTCAGGCATCAGGCACACACATGATACACACACACATACATGCAGGTAAAACAAAAAAATAAATCTTGTATTTTAAAAAAGTTTTGGCTTGACTTTTGAGCACATATTGAGATATGGAGAGGCCAGGTGACAAGCATAGAGTATGCCTGTAGAACAGATTAATAAGAAACTGGCCTTTGATCTGCTCTGTGGGATCTGGCCAGTGACCCTCTGGCAGTGTCCGTCAGGCCCTGTTTATCTGTTTCGTTGACAAGCTACAATTGTGGGACCTGATAATATCCCACATCAGGGCTGGAGAGATGGCTCAGAGGTTAAGAGCACCGACTGTTCTTCCAGAGGTCCTGAGTTCAATTCCCAGCAACCACATGGTGGCTCACAACCATCTGTAATGAGATCTGGCGCCCTCTTCTGGCCTGCAGGCATACATGCAGACAGAACATTGTATACATAATAAATAAATCTTAAAAAAAAAAAAATCCCACATCAAAGTGATGTATTCTTTTTGACAATTCATTTCCCTACAAATCACACAAAATTGCATTTATAACAAGAATTTATCAGGCTAGGTAGTGGTGACACACACCTTTAATCCCAGCATTCAGGAGGCAGAGGCAGGTGGATCTCTGAGTTCAAGGCCAGTCTGGTTTACAGAGAGAGTTCCAGTACAGCCAGGGCTACACAGAGAAACCCCGACTCAAAAAACAAAAAACAAAAGCATCATTCAGATATTCAGAGCCCTGGCAGCATTTGTCTTGACACTGTGAAGTCACAATGTTTTTCTGTTTTAACTGTTTTTTTTTTTAATTTAGGTATACATATATGTGTGTGTCATGTGTATGCCATGTATGTGCCCACAGAAGCCAGATCAGATCAGATCCCCGGGGGCTAGATTTACAGGGAGTTATCGATGCCCAGTGGAACTGAACTTGGGTTCTGGAAGAGCAGCCACTGCCTTTAACTGCGGAGCCATCTCTACACCCTCACTTTAGCTATTTCTAAAGTCCATTAATCCATTTGTTCACTGCTTTGTGATCCAAACCAAAATGACCTCCTAGTGGTGGACTGCAGGGGTCTATAAAGCAGACGGGTAAGTTCAAGAATAGACTCAGAAACATGCCTTCAAGTCGGAATAACCTGAATCATAGGTGGAATGAACTTTAAATCACCATTCCTGTTTTAATCTTCTTACCTGGATGTTTCCTGTGAGACCTCATCCTTTTGCTTTTGTTAATCCCTGCCCATTCATTACATGCTCATATGAGAAGACTTAGTTCTTCCAGCTTTGAACAAAAACAGCTTTGAGGAACTGCAAAATAGTTACAAGAGAACAATTGCCCAAGATTCAGGGAAAAAAAAAGTTGTTTTTTTTTTAATGGAACAGAGGGTGACTGGAGAGATGGTTCAGGGACTAAGAACACGTGCTGCTCTTAGAAAAGACCACAGTTTGGATCCCAGCATCCATGCCAGGTGGCTCACAGTTTCCTGTGACTCCGGCTCTAGGGGATCTAATGCCTTCTTCTGGCCCCCATAGGTACCTGAACTCATATTTACATACCCACACACAGAGGCACACACATAATTTAATAAATAAACTAAATCTTTAAAAAATGGAACATGTGTAGCAGGGTAAGAGGTCTGCAGAGCAAACACAGTATCTGAGTTTGGATACCTCACACTCATAAAAACCAGGCCTGACTCTGTGCTCCTGGTCCTAAGGGATGGAGACAGAAAGATGATAGCCAGGGCTCACTGAAGCAATCACTAAGCAGTTCATCAAAAGACTCGGTCTCAGAAAGATCAGGTGGAGGCTGGAGAGATGGTGTTCAATGGTTAAGAGCACTTATTACTGTTGCAGAAACCAAGATTTGGTTCCCGGCAACCACGTGATGGTTCACAACCATCTCTAACTTCCTCTTGTGTCCTCCTGAGGCACTGCATGCACATGGTGTACAGACATACATGCAGGTAAAACAAACACATAAAATAAAAATAATAAATGAATAGCATACGCCTATAATTCCAGTACTCAGGAGGCAGAGGCAGGTGGATCTCGGTGAGTTCGAGGCCAGCCTGGACTACAGAGTGAGTTCCAGGACAGGCTCCAAAGCTACACAGAGAAACCCTGTCTTGAAAAAAAATCCAAAAAAAAAAAAAAAAGAAGAAGAAGAAGATACCAGCCATTAACATCTGGGCTACACCCGCATGCACACATGTGTACACACATGCACACACACTGGAACATGTGCATTAGAGCCAATGCCATCACTCTAACTTGGTTATGAGACAACCATTCCTCACTGCTCTGACAAGCTGAAGAAATAACCTGAGGTCGAGAGAAATAGTTGCTTAGCATCCATCAACGGAAGTGACATTACTCTGGCAGCATCCATTCTTGTCTTGTGTTAGAGATGTGTGGCTACATGATGCACTTTATGCTCATGGCTGATGTATCTGAAGTTGGTGTTGAGTTTATACCAGCAGAACAGAAAACGCATTATTTTTGCATTACATTGTGTAGTTAGATTTCTGTTGCTGTGATGAAACACCATGACGAAAAGCACCTCAGGGAGGAAAAGTTGGTGTCAGCTTCCAGTTCCGCATCACAGTCCATCACTGAGTGACATCAGGGTGGGAACACAAGGCAGGAACCTGGAGGCAGAAACTGAAGCAGAGGTCCTGAAGGAGTGCTGCTTACTGACTTGCTAGCTCCTGGCTGGAACTAGCTCCTGCTAGAACGCTGGATCACCTACCCTGGGGTGGCACCACCCACAGTGAACTGGGCCTTCCCACATCAGCCATCCATCAAGAAAAATGCCCCCACAGGCTTGGGCAAATGACTCCAGATGGTGTCGAGTTGACAGAAGAAGCAGCCAGCACCCATTTCTTCTTCTAGCACCTACGTGAATGGAGTAAACTGTCACTGGGCAGCTGATCAGCTAATAGCTCTGCTAGTACTGGCTTATTTTTCTTCCATCAACCCCAAAAGTATATTTCCCACAAAACTCAGTGTTGTTTTATATACAGTTCTCTTACATTTTTGTTAGTTAAACATAGCTACAATCTTATATTAGCTTCTCTATTCAATCTGTTTTGAAATGTTAGTTAAAAGATATGAAGGAAATAGGGTCATGCACATATTTAACTGGATAAGAGGAAAAATCAATTTAATAGCCTTTTTTAATCACTGTAGATTCTTCTCTAGTACCACACCTATCCATACTGTAAAAATGGTTTTATTTATTTATTGTTTGTGTATGGGGGTGTGCTTGTCTGTGTGTGCGCGTGTGAGAGCACTTGTCGAGGCCAGAGGATCACCTTAAGGTGCTGGTCTCCACCTTCCACCCTTAGACGGGTCTCGTTGCTGCAGCGAAAGCCAGGCTGTCTGGTTTGCAAGCATCCTGAGATTCTCCTGCCTCTGTTTCCAGTCTCCTCCTGAGAGCATACTGGGATTACAGCTGCTTGTTCCTTTTCATTCAGCTTTTATGTTGATTCCGCGGAGCCCAGCTTGGGTTATCAGGCTTGCACAGCAAGTGATTTTACCCACCAAGCCGTCCCCCAGCCCTCTTTATTTGTTTTGAACAGCACTGGAGGTTAGGAACCATAGCTTTCTGTGTGCTCAGCAAGCACTCTACCACTGAGCTATATCCTCAGCCTTTTTGAAACTTATTATTTTAAGACAGTGTTTCCATAAATTTCCTAGGCTGGCCTTGAATTCATTCTGTATGCCAGGCAGACACTGAATTTGTGATCCTCCTGCCTTAGTCTTCCAAGTGCTTTGAGGCATATACCACTACACTCAGCAAAGTAAATTGTCTTTGGTACTGAGGGATTCAACCTAGGACATTGCACATAATAGACAAATGCTTTACTAGTGAGTCAAATCCCAGCTCATCAAGGGCATTCATAATTGAAAATGGTATTATTATTATTATTTTTTAAAACAGGATCTCTCTATGTAGCCCTGGCTGTCCTGAAACTTGCTATGTAGACTAGGCTAGCCTCAAATTCACAGAGATCTACCTGCCTCTGAATACTGGAATTAAAACCATGAGCCACCATGTCTGCCAAAAATGGCATTATTAAAAAATTGGGCATGGTTGCATATGGTAATAATCCTTGCACGTGTGAGATAAAGGCAGGGGGTTGTTACAAGTTCCACGAAAGCCAAGTCTACTTATGGAGTTTCAGGATGTCCAGGGCTGCATCATGAAACTCTATCTCGAGAGTCCAAAACCAAGGAAATTAAAATGGTACTTTTTAACAATTCTGAGCTGAGGGCTGGGCACAATGCCACCTGCAGCACTTAGGAAGCAGAGGTAGGCAGATCTCTAGGAATTTGAGGATGATATGGTCTATGTAGCATGTTCGAGGTAACAAGGCTACTTAGTGAGGCTCAAATAAAAAGAGTTGCAAGCTGAGGCTGGGGAGATGACTCAGTGGGAAGCCTGAAGACCTGAGTTTAGAGTCCCTAAACCTGTATAAAACCCAGAAGTATGCATCTGTAATCCCAGTGATTTTAAGGAGAGATGGGAAACACAAACCAGAGAACTCCTGGAAGCTTGCAGGGCCAGCTAATTTATCTGCCTAAGCAACTGTGAAAAGCAAGAGACCCTGTCAAATAAGATGGATATTAAGAACCAACATCTGAGATTGTCCTTTGACCTCCACATGCACACCATAGCATGTGCACCCCCTCTCACACACAAACAGACACAACTACACACCCACATTGTAATCTGGGGAGCTAGGGATGTAGCTCAGTTAGTAGAATGCTTGCTTAATGTGCATGAAACCCTGGGTTTCATGGGAGGTGGAGGCAGGAGAATTAAAAGTTCACAATCATCCTGGGTTACTTAATGAAACAGCCTGGGATATATAGCACCATTTTGAAAATTAATGAGGGCATACAAAGATGGCTCAGTAGTTAAAGAGCACATATTGCTCTCTCAGAGACCCAAAGTTCAATTCCCTGCACCCAAATTGGGCAATTCACAACCACCTATAACTCCAACTCTGATGCTTCTGGTCTCCATGGACATGTGTATTCATGTGCACATATCCACATGCACACACACACAAACACAGACACACACAGATATACACACACACACTAATTAAAAGTAGAATAAAGAGGACTAGGGAGATAGTTCAGCAGTTAAGAGCACTGACTACTCTTCCAGATGGTCAGGGTTGAATTCCCAGCACCCACTTGGAAGCTCACAACCATCTGTAACTCCAGTTCTAGGGGATCCAAGACCTACTTCTGGCCTCTGTAGGCACCAGGCTCACATATGTTGCACAGATATACATTCAGGCAAAACACTCACATGCATTTAAAATTTTAAAATAAATAAAAATAAAATAAAGTATTTTTTAAAAAATCAATATGGTGGCTGGAGATATAGCTTATCAGTTAAGAGTGCTTGCTTCAGCCAGGTGGTAGTGGCACACACCTTTAATCCCAGCACTTGGGAGGCAGAGCCAGGCGGATCTCTGTGAGTCTGAGGCCAGCCTGGTCTACAGAGTGAGATCCAGGACAGACACCAAAACTACACAGAGAAACCCTATCTTGGAAAACCACACCAAAAAAAAAAAAAAAAAAAGAGTGCTTGCTTCTCTTTCAAAGGTCTCAAGTTTGATTCCCAGCACCTACACTGAGTGGTTCACAGCCACTGTTACTCTGGTTCCAGGGTGATCCAATGTGTCTGGCCTCTGAGGGTATCAGGGACACACACACATACACATAATCTAAAAGAAAAGGAAGGAAGGAAGGAAAAAAGAAAGAAGGAAGGAAGGAAGGAAAGAAGGCTGGAAATATGACTTAGTAGTTAGCATTTACTGCTCTACCAAAAGATCATAATTTGGACCCAACACCACAAACACCTGCATCTCCAGCCCAGGCTACTACACCGAGCAAAACTTTCAATCACCATAGATAGAGTGCACAAGATATTCCGAAGAAAAAAAAACAGATTTAAACTATACCTAGCCACAAATTCAGCCCTATAGAAAGCACTAGAAGGAAAAGTCCAACCTAAGAAAGTCAAATGCACCCACGAAAACACAGGCAATAGACAACGCCACAACAGCAAATCCCAAAGAAGGGAAATACACACACACTACCACCAAAAGATAACAGGAATTGCCGGGTGGTGGTGGCGCACGCCTTTAATCCCAGCACTTGGGAGGCAGAGCCAGGCGGATCTCTGTGAGTTCAAGGCCAGCCTGAGCTACAGAGTGAGTTCCAGGAAAGGCGCAAAGCTACACAGAGAAACCCTGTCTCGAAAAACCAAAAAAAAAAAAAAAAAAAAGATAACAGGAATTAACAATCACTGGTCAATAACATCTTTTAATATCAATGGACTTAATTCACCTATAAAAAGACACAGGCTAACAGAATGGATATGAAAACAGGATCCATCCTTCTGCTGCATACAAGAAACACACCTCAACTTCAAAGACAGACACTACTTCAGAGTAAAAGGCTGGGGAAAGATTTTCTAATCAAATGGACTTAAGAAGCAAGCTGGTGTAGCTATCCTAATATCTAACAAAATTGACTTCAAACTAAAATAAATCAAAAGAGATTGAGAAGGACGTTACATATTCATCACAGGAAAATCCACCAAGATGAAGTCTCAATTCTGAACATTTATGCCTCAAATACAAGGGCATCCACATGTATAAAAGAAACAATACTAAAGCTTAAATTGCACATCAAACCCCACACATTAATAGTGGGAGACTTCAATACCCCACTCTCACCAATGGACAGGTCTGCCAGACAGAAACCTAAAAGAGACATGAGGGATCTAACAGATGTTATGAGTCAAATGGACTTAATAGATATCTATAGAACATTCCACCCTAACAAAAGAATATACCTTTTTCTCAGCATCCCATGGAACCTTCTCTAAAATCAACCATATACTCAGTCACAAAGCAAATATCAACAGATACAAAAAAAATTGGAATAACCTCCCATATTTTATTGGACCACCATGGTTTAAAGTTAGATTTCAACACCAACAAAATTATAGAAAGCCTACAATCTCACAGAAACTGAATAATGCTCAACTGAATCACCAATGGCTCAAGGAAGAAATAAAGTAAAAAATTAAAGACTTCCTAGAGATCAATGAAAATGAATATACTACATACCCAAACTTATGGGACACTATGAAAGCAGTGCTAAGAGGAAAATTCATAGCACTAAATGCCCACATAAAGAAGTTGGAGAAATTCTCACACTAGCAACTTAACAGCACACCTGAAAGCTCTAGAACAAAAAGAAGCAAACTCACTCAGGAGGAATAGATGCCAGGAAATAATCACATTGAGGGCTGAAATCAATAAAATAGAAACAAAGAGAACAATACAAAGAATCAATGAAACAAAGAGCTGGTTCTTTGAGAAAATCAACCAGATAGACAAACCCCTATCCAAACTAACCAAAAAGCAGAGAGAGAGAGCATCCAAATTAACAAAATCAGAAATGAAAAGGGAGACATAACAACAGACAATGAGGAAATCCAGAGAATCATCAGGGCATACTTCAAAAACCTGGACTCCACAAAATTGGAAAACCTAAAAGAAATGGACAGTTTTCTCAATAGGTACTACATACCAAAATTAAATAAAGATCAGATAAACAATTTAAATAGACCTATAACCCCTAAGGAAATAGAAACAGTCATTAAAAGTCTCTTAACCAAAACAAACAACAACAACAAAACAACTCAGGACCAGATGGTTTCAGCTCAGAATTCTACCAGAATTTCAAAGAAGAGCTAATTCTAATACTCTTCAAATTGTTCCACACAATAGAAACAGAAGGAACATCATCAAACTCTTTTATATGAGACTACAGTTACCCTGATACCCAAACCACACAAA